AAATCACAACTTTTCTCGCATTATTTGGTCGATTGCAGATAAGGGTTTTCATTACGTCTCATTAGGTTCTCTTCGGTCTAATACATTCCTATCAACACATGCACTCGTGTCTTAACGACATGGCGTCGGCAGTGTAATAAATATGAACGGGCGCAATAAAAAATTACTCGGTTGGTGTTTTCGGAATGCACAACTCGCACGTTTTTTATCGGAAAAAGAGATACCCATCGCGGATATTATGCGGCGTCGTCGTGTCGTATCGTATGAAATTGCAGTTGTTATCCGATCGAAGAGCAACTTTCGCAATGCCGTTTCCACCGAACTTTCGTACAGGTCCCTGTGGACGATCGGTTGTCGTCCGAATAGGAGTGCGGCGGTACGTTTATATTGCAGACGCTTTTTCTTCTTGCGACAAAGCAGCGGCGCCGACGGCAAATGTGTCCAGACGAACGTGCCACAGTTCACATTCTAGGAATGCAAGTTGTTCGTTTGCGCGACATCGCCAGATTGCACGTCCACCGCAAGTTGCTGTTGACCAATTATCATTGTCGGCTTCTTACCTGTTATTATGCATTACATACTGGTATACAATGCGTACATATCGGGAATGCAACTATTTAACTACTAGTAGTACTACTATCGGTGGAACAACAAGTCCGAGTTTAGCTCTCAGACACATTGCAAGTCGCATATTCGCACATAGCTAACGCTAGTAGATGGCGAGCAGTGTGTCAGGTATAGTGAAATAACGATGGTAATTAATAAAGCATTATGGTGGGATAGAATAAGAGTAAACGGACAAGTTTTAGGAGGCGGGGCGTGTCCGTGACTGTTGTCTGACAAATGTATGGACTACCTGTTCACGACAAAGCCACGCCTGCACCGGTCGTCTGCGGTCAACTGTTGTACGCCGAGCTGGCCGTGCCTATCTTCCTAATTATCAACATTAACACCTGTCAATTTAGTAACACGTCGTCGAGGCGTTTATGGCGTAGGTGGTCATAAACTAATGGTCGCAGACCATAAGTCGATAAAAAACGAGTCACTCGAATGTCTCATTAGGTGTAAACAATTTTTTATGAACATGCCAAGTAATTAGTAAATTTTTCCATTTTTTTTTCAATAGTTATTTTTTTATCGGATTGACTAGAAATATATTTCGACTTGAATCGTGTGAAAATAATTTATTATTTTCTGTAGATATCATATATTTGAAGACAATTAACGATTCTTCGTAAGAACATAACATTGGTCTATGTTTCAACATATTTTAAGGTCAAACCCAAAAATGTTTGACGAGCACTCGACTAGTCGAAAATTCATTTAAAACGTATGTTAATGTAGAGAAATATGAAATTATAAATTTTCTATTTTGGAATTAAATTTAATAAAATAGGTTTTAATTTTTGCAATTTCCCTCGAATGAACTCAATTAGTTTCTCAATAAAGTGTTTTTGTTGCTGCGTACATAAAATATGTTCGAGTGGCGATTTCCGACGAGATCTCAGCAATTTGTTTTCTCTAGATAAATTGAAGCTTTGCTGAAATATATTAACATTATTTAGGCGNCATAACATTGGTCTATGTTTCAACATATTTTAAGGTCAAACCCAAAAATGTTTGACGAGCACTCGACTAGTCGAAAATTCATTGAAAACGTATGTTAATGTAGAGAAATATGAAATTATCAATTTTTGGAATTAAATTTATTAAAATAGGTTTTAATTTTTGCAATTTCCCTCGAATGAACTCAATTAGTTTCTCAATAAAGTGTTTTCTGTTGCTTCGTACATAAAATATGTCCGAGTGGCGTTTTCCTACGAGATCTCGGCAATTTGTTTTCTCTAGATAAATCGAAGCTTTGCTGAAATATATTAACATTATTTAGGCACGATTTTTATTAATTGTATAAAGTGGCAGACAGTGTCAATATAGTTAAGAAAATTTCTCGGTGAAAAATCACGCCTCGAGTATCAACAGAACAATATGACACTCGAGTTCTTTTCCCTTTGCATTTCTCTTTTGCGCATAAAACAGATTTATGTAGACGCTTAACGGCAGTTTAATTAAGATTCCGCAGTGTCTTTTAATCACGCCCTGACAATTTGTCAGGCTCTTGTGTATATAGATCGCACGAAGCCTTAAATATAAGTAAAGTCGCATTCATGTACACGCATACGACATAGGTCGTTAATTTTGCCATCACTACAGTCATCGCGAGGGCGTAAATGATATGCGTCGGAAGGCGGAGAGTTTTTCAATATAATACACTCCCGGAGGATTATACAAAACCACGCAAAGTTAATGAAAATTCCTGGAAACAGTCAAACTTGAGTCAGCATGTAAGATCAATTTCATTTCCATTGTCGCGCCGAGCTGCTGATGACTGTAAGATGCAAATCTATTTGTTTAGTACTTATATAGCGCTGGAGATATGTGTCCTGAAATATTTTAATATCCTACTATAATCTCGTATAATATGTACGTTATTCCCTTATTTCACGATAATAACTATCGAATGTCTAATATCAACAACGTTTAATGGATTCGAGTTTGTTGTGATATGTGTTGGCATAACCATGTCGCTGACGACGGGGTGTTGAACGCACTTTGACCAATATTAATGACAGTAATACGTTTGAAATTGTTTTATGGTAATAGGTGAGAGGGGCCATTAAACGAGTGAATGTATTTACACTAAAGGTTCCTATTAAATTACAGGGTATTTTCAAACTATTCTACCAGTGGAAACTTTTCATGAATACTCGTTTTTTTTAAAAAAAAGGTTCATTAATATAATATCAAATCCTATTTAAAAGTGACTGGATGTAATTCGTGCAATACTGGAATATTGTATTTTCTAGTGAAACGCTGACATTTCCGTGAAAACCGTTCACATTGGAAACGATGAGTTTTTTTTTTTTTTCGTTTTAATTCGTCCGCGTAAACTGTCGAGTAAACAATTGCGTGGAAAGTAGGCACTTAAAAAAATGTATGTGGATAATGCGTTATTCAATATTTGTCGTGTCTGAATCGGTCGATATCTTTTGTCGAACTAAGATTACCTGTCGGTAATAGGCATAGGTAAATAATTTTAGCATGAACAAACAAAGCGAAACATCACAGGCGGTTGTACAGCACAAGTCGAATGTTGATGTCAGACAAACGGCCTCGACTTACGTTTATATACATATGTGAAATGCACGTAGACTCGTTTGGTTTGCGCACAGCACAGAAATCAATCAATATTGGTTAAATACCTACAGTCGTGAGATCAGCTAGTAGTTTACGGTGCGCATTTAAGTCAACCGTCGCCGCGTTATCGAGCATTACTTACCCGAGTGCCTACTTAAGGTAAGGACAAAGAGCAAACGTTTTGTCTCGCACCAACACCGAAAACGAGTATATAGTGTACGTGTTTATCCATCAACGGCCGAGTGTTTTAACACGTGTTCTCTATCGAAACAGAGACGTCCCACTTGGAAACAACACTCGGCGGCGGTAGTGTAGATGGTATCGGTTACGTTGAAGAAGATGATGATGATGAAAACACTCTGTTTCAGAAATCAATACACGACAGCGAGTCGNAACGGCCGAGTGTTTTAACACGTGTTCTCTATCGAAACAGAGACGTCCCACTTGGAAACAACACTCGGCGGCGGTAGTGTAGACGGTATCGGTTACGTTGAAGAAGACGATGACGATGATGAAAACACTCTGTTTCAGAAATCAATACACGAGACAGTACAAGTAGAGTCGAAACATAATCAAAGGCGTCTCGAATAGGTTCGGCGCGTTCACGTACTGTAACAAAGGGTTTAATGAACTTTGCCGTGAAAACCACGAGAATAATAGATTGGATTTGCGTTCATTTTGCTCGTTATTTTTAAAATTAATGGTTTCCAGTCGAAAAAAATATTTTGGCATCGTGAGAGTTTCCTGCGTGCAATTGATTTTCAAGTCGTTGACAACACAAATACACCGTATTATTAAGTTTAACAGCGAATGATTTAAAAACTTGTTTTAAAAAAATATTATTTATTTTTTAGTAGGCCAATACAAATAATGAAAAGTCTCGATCTAGATAATTTACCGATTTTCTTTAATGTTTTTCGCCGTTTCATTAAATTGTACCGTCAAGGTATTCCTAAGTGTAATTAAAAGTGTTCATTTGACAATGTTTTTCGCACGTATACAATTTGCCAAGTATATGTAAAAATACTCGATTATCATAAAATAATGGTCAATTAATTTTAAATGAAAATCAAAAATATTTTCTATCGATTGACAAAATAACCACTAAAAAAATGGTTATTACGTTCAATTTACTATAGACACCTAAACTATCGTGTTTAAACAAAATTTTTTTAAGTAACTAGTCATTTTGATTACTAGTGAGAAAGTTAATAATTTATAAAATTTAAAAAGCTATAAAAAATTTTAAAAAAGCTTGAAAAAATGTACAAAATTTAGGAACTCATAGAATTGCTCAGATTATGTATTTTTTTATTACATTTCAAATTATTATGAAATCATATAAGTCATAGGCTTGTTAAAGAATAGCATAGTAACGATATTATGTGAAGTTAACGCGATCTCAAAAAATTTGAGGTTTAACCAAAAAAATGTGTATTTATACGATTTAATTTGTAATGCCAAAAACATACTCGTGTTTCATCTGCTCGTACCACAAACGTCATTAAAATAGGACTTTTTCACTAATAAGTGTATCTAAACATTATTCTATATATATATGATGAAACACATCTGACAACTTAAATAACTTATGATCTACATAATATTTTGTACTTATTTTTATTTTTAATCAATATTACAATATAGAACTATATTTAAGTAATGTTCTATGTTATTTTTCGCAATTATAAAAAGTATTTTAAAAACTAATTTTTTATTAAATTTTTTTTTTAAATTTGAAAATAGCCATATAGATAAGTTTTAAAGAAAAATTTTGATACCAAAACTCTTATTTTAATTCAGTAATTACGTTTATATAGCATTATGAAGTTTGTTAAATTTTGAATTTTTTACAGTTTTCCTAGGGTATCTGTTGGATACAGATCGATGGAATATGCTGTCAAGAAAATGTGTTTTTGATTATTCATGTTATCGTTGTGTTACATCGAGTTGTTGTCGGTTTTCTCTCTATGTTTACCATTGTCGCAGCCATCTTAACGCTTCTTCTGCTATAAGCTCTATGGCGTTTGCGAGCCAGTAGTTTTGTATTCGTTTTACTGTAAAAAGAAAATATCACCTTTGCGATTGTCGTACCCTGTGCGCCCAGTTTATCGCCGTTGGGTCTATATATTTTCTGAGATACATCACAATACCGTTGACAGTATATTGTACACTTTGGTCAGCTACTTGCATTCGACTTCAATTGATCCTTTCAATATTCAACATTATCATCAGCCGTTTCATTTAGCAGATAAGTATAATGCTTGTTCATTTATTTTTCTAAGACTCACTTGTATAATTTATTATTTGTTTATATCATCGCCTTAATGGCATTAGTATTAAGTGTCCCCCTATCCACATCGGTGATAATATAAGATTTTATATTTCTTGTACTATACATTTAATTGTTATAATTATATCTTGTGAAATTTATACTACATTCACACATACAGTCCACTCATCTTATTCTTTATCCTCGACATAGCTAAAAACTTAAGACAAAACAAAACCACGAAACCGCGTGAATACCACCGGGCGCTGCGTTCAGTCAGTATCAAATGTTAGTTCATATTACACTTTACATAAACACTTATTACGTTATTTGCTAGTAACAGTACGCGATTTCTTTTCCATGAAAATTATTAACATTTGAATAAGCATTTGTAATTGACATGAAAAAACGAGTAGTAGTATAATTAAGATTATTAAAAAAAATTATAGAAACATTGTCTAAAACATGTCGAGTTTTTAATTAAATAAGTTCATATAACATAAATTTTAACGCGAATAATAGTGAATAAGTGCATTTATTATCAAATCTCCTAACAAGTAATATCCTATAATAATGTGATTACAATGATAGAATCAGACAAATTAATAATTGTTATCACTTTTAACTTGGCTAACCATCGAACACTCGTAGTTGACATACGATTATGTTCCTAACTTTTACAATAAAGATTAGAGATAATAATTTTTGTATAGAGCGCGTTAAACGTTATTATTATCCATGGAAAAGAAATCGCGTACTGTTACCAGTAAATAACGTAATATGACAGTGTTTACTTTCGTTCTTTACATAATATGGACTAGCATTTGATACATAGGAAAATTGTAAAAAAAAAAATCAAAATTTAACAAACTACAAAATGCTGTATAAACATAACTACTAAATTAAAATAAGAATTTTTGGTATCAACAATTTTCTTTAAACCTTATTTATTAATGGCTATCTTCAAATCTTAAAAAAAATTTTAATAAAAAAATTAATTTTTAAATTATTTTTTGTAATTGCGAAAACAAAAACGTATCAACACTAGCGCGGTCAATGACAGAAGGAATGAAGAAGAGCCAATATCAATCAATTTGCGATTTCCAATCGATAACGGTCAGTATTTTTGGAAGGAATAGAAATCGATATAATTCGATTTTAATTGTTTTATTATCTCTGCTTGCCTTATCTAGCTGTATATATAATTTCCTATGAGAGTAATTCTGTGGTATTTGGGTAAAAAGGCTTAAGTTCAAAATTAATCATTTTATAGTCCTTTATATCACAAAAAAAATTATTTCTTTTTAAATATTAGGATATATTTAACCTCATTTACGCAGTTTTTATACTGGAGACCTTTTACCTGAGCACCACAGAATTACTCTCATATCACATTATAATCTTTAAAGAAGTGAAATTATTCTCAATGTTAATTCTTAATAAATTATTATCTTTTTTGGTTGAACAAGTAATTGCTTGTAACACTAAAAAATACTACAATATTTTTTTAATTTTTCACAATTCTCATACTGCTAAATCTTGTTGATTGTTTCTTTTTAAAACATTTTATTTTATCACGTGACAAAACTGACGAATTATTTATAAAAAAAAATTTAAACATTCTCAATGGTCATAATAGTCATTATGAAAAATTAGTGGTAAATTGAGTAGGGTTTGCTTCTATTTGTATAACACTACCGCGAAATCACATGAAAATAAACTGTAAACAAAATTTGTAGTGTAATTCGATATGTACATATTAAATATGTCAACCGATGTCGCGAAGAATTATTTATCGAGTGATTACTCAGTAAAACAAATCTAACAGCAGATGGTAATATGTTTAACATTAAATAGCAATATACATTTGAATAGTTATCATCATTGAACTGAAATTTAATTCTTAACGTAAAACTAATACAAGTTCGTAATACATGAAAAGTGTAAACATTAAAAATACATTAAGTAAAAATTAACATTACAAATAACTTTAGCGTAAAAAACACATCCATTTGCATGAATTTAAAGTACCGTTGTATTCAAATTTTCCATGTACAATTTTTCAATCTATTATATAATAATCCGGTTATAACAATAATGCAATTATCTGTCCGATTTTTTTGATTTTGCCAACCGCGTTATTTATAAATAAGAGTAAAAATAGTATTGTATTCTGATCTATAAATTTTAAATTGAAATTTAATCACGTGTGAATTTAGCTGTAATATTTATCAATTTTTTTATATGATTTCCTAACAGTTGTAATTAGTTTTGTTTTTTAATTTTACTTTGTAAATATTTTCAAAATAATTTTCATTTTTGTATAAAACGATGACCGTTTCTATTTCGAGAGACATACTCAGCGTTGTACAAATATTGAAAGTGTTTAGATGTTTTTTTACTCATAAACAAGTTTTGTTCTCTTGTAGAGACTCGCTGAGTGATGTCTGTTCATAACGCTTTAACGATTTCCGTTTTATTTTCGGTTGGTTTCAACAATCGAAGATAACCGCCGACAGTACAGCAGTAATGAAATCGACGGACTTCTGGACACGGTGCCCGTTGACATGTTTATGGATCCTTTCAAAGTAATATGTATAAATATCAAAAAACCCGAATTTCGATTATCATCGTACCGCGACGAGAAGACATCGGTCCGAGTGTTGTAACCCTATTGACAAAACATTAACATAATAATAATTCGGCGGCAACATTTGCCGTGGGCGTATGACCGGTTTCCGTGACACGGGCTGACAGAACGGACCGATTATGTGGCCTAGCGTTTAACATCGACCCTTAAGATTCATTCATCCGTGGACCATGTGAACACGGCCAGTCCAGTTCAAGTACAGCGTTCGGGCAAACCAGATACGCGTGTGTTGCTCAAGTCATTTCATAAATAAAGCGAAATACTCATTTTATCATCAGGTGTCGATGATCATTGTAGAAATTTGAATGAATATTAGTGTCTGTTAAAACAGCAGCACTTAGGTCCTAAGCGGGACAAACCTGTTTTTGAAAAATGCTAATAATCTAAAAAATAATTTAGCTATTTCTGAAGTAGTTGTGAGCAAGTGGTAGTTGTATCGATGATAAATTAGTAATGTTAATGTAAGTAATAATTTATTCAAATATGTACACAGTTGAATAATTATTCGCACATTTGTTGACAGAAAAAAATACATATTCAATTCAAATATATTTTTATTAACTATTTGCCAGCAATTTTTTGTCGCCAAACCAAATATTTTGTACTACTTGTTCGCAATTCGAGTTTTCATTGGAACATAATTTGTTCTGTTCCAATCTGTATACTCATCTGCAAGTGACAAATGGTTTCTGGGTAGTTTGCTAACGAAATTGCGCGCAGTTTCCCACCCAAACCAAACACAGCCCACGTGTGTCATTATAGCGCACAAGAATTACGATTAATGACTGTCGTTGCCGTTGTACGCGCGGAATGTCAATTGTAGACTACCAAAGCATTTTGTATTTTATATCTTCTCGAGGCTTCTGAATATCTAAGTACAAAGCACTTGCGACGTTATATCGTGTCGAAAATTCATTTGGCAAAGCTCACTCTGTCGGAACCACTCCTAATTTTTATTTTTCTTTCAGCATTTTATTAGTCCACCTACACTCATTGTGTTTGGCTTAATCTTCAACCGACGCGCATACATTTGTTTTGTTTCTTTCCCGTTTAATCCTCTTAAACATCCCGCACCCTAAATCGATGTAATCATTATGATATGATAACTGAACGATTCTCGTCAAGTCGCCGGTTTAAATGTATTATTGTCTTTTGTTTCCTACCGTATTACTCTATTGGAATTATACAAATCATTGTAAACGCGGTTAAAAACAACTCTAAATGTGTGTGTATACATAAGTAGGTTTATTGTACACAATAACTATTGAATATAAAACCCCACGAGATCTTAAGATATATTCGAAACAAAGTAGCTTAAAAATATGTTTTACATAATATTTGATTATGTGAATGCATTTCTGAGTGACGCCCACTACAGTGGATATTTAATAAAATTATAATAGACATCTGAAGATAAAAGTGTATTCAACATAAACATTGTTTGTCCGAATACATTTTGTTATTATTGTTACATTGTTACAACTCGTAAATATACTAATTGAATAATAAATAATAATTAATGCCTGACACTTTAAAGTCGAACATTTTGTGTAAAAAAGACAAAATATATTAATCTAAAAATTTCAATTATTAAACTCTTCACGGAATATCATTCAAATAATAGTACATAATTTGTATGTTAAATATGTAAGTTTGAAAAATCCGAATGTGGTTTTAAAATTAGATGTTATTAATATAAAAACTTGTTTTGCAGTTAAGTGGTATTAATAGTAATTTCTTTAAAAAAATGTGACTTCCACAAAATAAAACATCCACTTTATAATATAATATGTGTTTTAATGTCAATCGTGTAAACCTCTTAAATTATAAATTAGATCTGATTAATAACTTCAAGGTGAAGTTTTTATATTTTTGTAAGAGAATAATAATATTAGAGAAATGCAAAAAATATATGCTTGGTTTTAAAAAAAATTATTAGTATTCTAATAAATCTAACAAGTTCTAATTAGGATAGTTCTAAATCCAATATTGAAATTTCTTAAGTATACAACATATAAAAAAGAAAATGAAATTTGGTTTTTGCTTGAACATTTTAATCATTGTAGTTTTTAATTTTATTCATCTAAATTAAACAAAAAAATTTTTTTAACGTTTTAGAACTTGTAAAAAAAGTTTTTTGTATTATTCTAGCTAAACAAGACAACTAATTGTAAATATATAATCATTTTAGATTTTATTATCAATTATTAATTAACAATATAGCCGAAATTACACAAAATAAGATATAATTCGATGAAAATTATTCATAACTTTCAAAAAAGTTTTATTATCTATTAACGTTCGGAATGGTTTATTACATGTGCTCCTCTTACAAAATTGATTATTGTTATTTTTTTAATCTATAATTTATTAATCCTATAAGATGTACATCACAACGATTACAGCCTGTTCATTAAATATAAATCAAGTGATGAGTTATCAAAGATGATTTTTATTGGTTTAACAAACACATCTTGATGATTATAAGACGTTAAATAAAACAGCGAAGTTAAATGTGGAACATTTAATTTAACATTGCATGTGTGCCTAATAATAATAAAAGCATAACCTTGCCAGTCGAAAAGCAATAAAAACCTACCGTCAATAATTTACACGCTTCTTCGTTGGTGTTCTTTTGGGGAGTTTCGGTGATTGCCCTGACGTTGCCCGTGGGGGGGGGGGCGGTGGATTCATGATAGAAGNTTGCCCGGGGGGGGGGGGGGGCGGTGGATTCATGATAGAAGATGAGAAAAAGAAGTAAATAGCATTACGGCTGTACATTAAAGCACACACTGGCACAGTTTATCGTTTCCTTCGGTGTTTCAAAATACCATCCCTAACCGTGGTTAATTTGCAGAAGAGGAAAATAAAGAATTTATATTTATTTTCCCCTCTGCCCGAGAGGTGTGTATTTATGTGTGTGTGTATGATGTTTTATTCGACACTAGTGCCCGTGTCATTTTTATTGCTCAGCTTTTAATCCAACCTCCACCAATTTCAGTGCGGAGTCGTTCTATCCCACCGCCTTCGCCTGCAAATGCCCGCGAATAATCATAATAATACTAATATAAAAACGGCGGTCGTCATATTTTTATACAGTATAATATTTATTATTAATGTTACCGTGTCATCATCAGGGCAGCGTGAATGGGATAGAGGCCGAGCGAGGAGTTCTATGGTTTTACGGCCCGAGTAAAACAAACGCCGTTCTCTTTTGCTCCGCTAAAGAGATTGTTCAGAAACCCACTTGGGTGGGTAATAATATTATTGTGCGTACAATATAATAATATACAATGACTGATATGCTGTAAAGCCGGTAAGAGGGGTAGGTGCGCGTGTTGCCTTGCTAATCGCCTTCGTCTGTTTTGATCAATGATAGTGTTGTTTTAGAATAATATAAAAGACGGGCATCAAAAACACGCCTGTTGGGCCCATTGTGTAAGCCCCATAAAACACATTAGATCTGTTGTCTCTTCGAAATCACCTCTGTCGCTTCCACTGCAGGGTGACGTTTCGTTAATTTTTAGGTTGACCCGATTTTCGAGAAAGTCTTTTGTGAACAGTCAAAATTTTTATAAAAAAGGAAAATTAGTCATTACAACGCTATAAACATAGGAATTCATTTTTTTTGTCTATTCAAAGCTAAATATTCAAGCGGTTTGTAATGTTAAGTTAACATAATAATATGCATAATAACCCGACCTAATAATATTTTACCCCTTGCTAATTCCCTGAAACCCCGCACTCTTACACGACCCCTACCAAAATCACAAACGATACCGGGGGGGGGGGGGGGTATAACATGAAAAGTTCACGCCACAAATCTTCCCTAGCCACAAGAAGTCAGTAGGCGTGTAGGATGCCTTATACGAGATTCACGTAAATCAAACACCCTGGCCGTTTACCAACCGTCTTGTAAAGATCCTATCGCATTTTATCCGAATTCTTGCTTGTAACTGTACCAGCGTTTCATGTGTATAAAACGCTTTGTCCTCCGCTTTCCGCATCTCGCTCTTAAAGCGCTGCATGTGAACGCGAAACGTTCGTGTTTTAAATTATTCTGTTTCCTGATAAAAAAAAAATACCAATAACACACATACATAGTTCTGGCACGGATAAATTGTTTTCCGGCATATACTGCTTACTGTGTAGCAGCACTGTTTTGTGGAGAAAAGAAAAGAGAAAAAAGAAACATGGGATTTCTATTGTTGTTGCGGTATGGAAAAACGATCCATTTCAAATGAGTACATCTGAAATACAATTTCAGATTTGTTTTCGTTTATACGCTTACAACCCGTCCTGAAATCCCATCTGCAAAACTACCATCACCATTATTTAAGGGTTTTTCGAAAATTACTTTGTAGGTAAGAACAACCAAAAGAATTTTCTCCGATGCCAATAAAAGTTTATATTTATTTAATTTATAATAAAATTACTCTAACCTAAAGAGAGGTTTGCATTTGTCTTGTACTATTTTTTACTGCTCTATTTCAAAAGGTATCATTTTATTTTAGAGTAGTATTTTGGTCGTTACATTGTTTAAGAAGTTTTCGTAAATTTCGGTTATAATAAACGTTATTATACTAAATATTATTAAATGCAATTTAATAAGGAGATTTTAGATAAATCATACAACTATCTTGACAGTAAAACATCGCAAAGATCACAGATAATGTTCTCTGTTTCGCATATTATAATAACATTAACAACAGGATATATAACGACAAAAGCATTAAGAAAATTATTGTAACGTTGCCAAGCGAAGGGTAGCTGGTTTTTATAGCTCTTTTTTTTTAACCCTGACCAAAAATGGTAAATTAATTGGCAAACGATTGGGAGGTTTGAACGAGGAACCGGATGAAAAAAATATATTTGTTTATCCGTAGGATTTTTTTCATTTATTTATTTATCTGCACCCTTTTTTTAAGCAGACGTTTACACAAAACTTCTTTTTAATATTTTTATCTTGCCCTTAATTAACCTTTCTTTATCTGAATCAATTACACAAGTGGGTAGAATAAAACAAAAGCAAATGAAAAAAGGGTTTTTTCCTCCTCGACCTTCTTCGAGCAAACTAAAAAAATATTATTGGCTTTAGTTTGCGGAGGAGTATACTTGAGAGTAATTAGAAATGAGTTTAATTAAAACTTTTTTTTTTTTTGATAAAAAAAAAAAAATTACAGAAATCTGTTTACTATCTGTGGTTTATCGTGATAGGTTTTAGACAGTAAAAGTCCTTTGCCAACGACGAGACATGCATTTTTTTCGTTTTTGATGTGTCAATTTAATAGCGGATAATTTACGATTTAGACATCTGTTCTAGGGCGCGTAAACAATGCGCATCTCCATTAGTGCATAACACGTAATACGAAACCTCAACGGAAATAACGACCGGGGGGGACAATGACGACGTCGGTGTGGTTGTCATAATAGTATAATATAATAATAAAATAGGTGTGGTACTTAAACCATTGGTCGAGCGCTTTTTTTGGCGACGGCAAACGGGTCCAGGGAAAATAATCCCCCACCCTTATGTATAATAGAGCAAGGGCAAAAGTCTCTCGGCATGACGTCTCTGGAGTAATCTGTTACTGTGCGTGTGACGGTGAGTAGCTTTAATGAATAGAATTTACGCGCGTACACACAACACTAGTATTTTTTTTTTTTTTTTTTAAGAATGGCTTTTTGCCCCCGGGGGCTCTTGAATACATTACCGGCTAAAATATAATCTGTAGTATACGGTTGCTAACACCCCGGAGGACTTGTAAAGAGCTATTTTGTCAGAGATCCCTTTATCTCAAACGAACAGTCAACATTAAAATGAATTATTGTTGTTTATTATTATTATTTTTTCTTTTTGAATTTCCAAAATGTCGTACTTCAACCCCGCTGTACCTCGAACCAATGAAAAAAATGGCGATTGTATGAACGCGTGTAAACAAAAATCAAATAAACACATTGTCATCATCGAAAAGTGTTAATTTCACTTATACCTTTGTGGTGCACAATAGGCATCGGAAAGCAGCGCTAACGAGATTTTCGCACGCGGGGATGTTATTTTATTCAACAAGGAAAAATATTACACTACTGCCTAAACCACTTATTGCCGGCAGGCCTGTTGACAGTGTCAAAATGTGCAGGGGAGAGGATAAACCTCATCCGGCAGTGGCGGTTGTCTTCTCTAGATATTTCTCATTATTATTGTATACACTGGTTTATACACCACACGAGCTTTTGCGCCGGAAAAACGATCTAACGTCGGTACAACGATAATATGCCCTTTTCGGTTGCGTCGTTTCTTTTTAGCCAATATATATATATATAGTATATTTATACTACTGATACTGTATAATGTATAATAAAATATATATAAAAAAGGGCAGAACAATCAAATCTCTGGCGTTGTGGGTTTTACGCGTCACCGACACCGGACACGCGACGAATACAAATAAGACTATGTAAGGAGGGACGTGAGGCGAAGAAAAAGAGGTTAGCTATGAAAAGGAACTGGGATAAGATATAAGAAGAAACGGCAGTCGGTATACCTTTTGAATGCGGACGTGGTCAAAATACACTTGGAAATGTCAACGAGGGTCTAACTTCTTTTATTCGCCAATACAATTACCCGTTAGGCCGAGACGTTATTATTCACAGCTGAGCTTACACGCACATTGGATGTGTTTCCGGTGACTTAACCGGGCAATATCATGTTCCAAACAAAGTTTCATTTACATAAAATTAAGTTTGGCTGATAGTATCCGTAAGTGTTATTGGCGGATTGACTTTGCAAACACGTGCTTTATTTGTTATTTAATTTAATCCGACAGTTTGATTAATCAAATAGTCGAATAGAGATAACACGACAATAATAATAAAGCTCTCGATGTTTCATCATGAAACATTGAGAGCTGTAGAATAATTGATATCATAAATATGAAAACAAAGAGCACGTTGGCGAAAAAGTTCCGATTAAAAATCCATTTTGAGCAAAAACTCTTGTCTATTCGGTGATTTATTACAGCCGGTACAATACATCGATGACAGTAATAACGATAATAAGTTCTGATTAATTAGCGATAAAATTTCAATCCACGTGAATCGAGTTAGTTATTCAGCACATCGTTGACAATATCTAGGAGCAGTTATGACCTATATACATACATGCCATTTCGACATAAAAGCGTGCTCTGACCTTTATATTATTATTTTAATCATACCACTGATAAAACAAAATGTGTGTGTATAAAAAACGTCGTATGATCTGAATATATTTGCATTGGCAAAATTGATTCGGCTATGACACGCGACCGATAGTCATCTGACGTGTGTTTGTATAATATTTTATTGGAATTGTCCGATAACCTCCTTTGGACCACATGCTGCACTATAGTGCCATATTATGTTTTTTTGTTTTGTTTGGTTGTCATTTTATCTCCGCCGGACCGCGATATGATTTTGTCAGCTATTGATTTTCGTTGTTTTTTGTTGAAATTGGACAAATGGGCAGGGGAAAATGTACGAAAAGGCAAACAACGTACAGATAGTCACTGTGACAGGCTAAATGAAAAAAAGGTCACCGATGTGTCAACATACGCTAGACCGCGTCACTAGTGTAAATAAGATTGGGCCGTTTTTATTTTTTATTTTTCAACACATATATAGTTTAAACGTTGAAATTGAGTACCTCGAACTAATAGATCAGCTGACAATGACTTTTTTACCCAGATCGGTATAAAAAAACACTCCTAATTGAATTTTGCAACTCATTCCACTTCACCTGTCATCGTGACCCACCGTCACTAAAACATTTCAATTTTCGTTTTAATGTCACTGAAATGTTTGTCATTTGGACACTTGCAACACATGTGTACAATAATGTAGGGACTGAAAATATATATTGTCAGGGTGATAGATTTATCTTTGACCACCAAATTTTTCCTAATATCATAATAATCATGAAAATTCTTATTTTTTTTTTAATTATTATTTATTTGTCAATTTTTAGTAGTTATACCCTTTATAATAGTACTAACTTTTTTTAAATTCAATGTACATAATTATATCGTTTATATTATAGAAAATGATCAAACTGAGAACATTTCTGGTTGGTGGCAAGTTTTTGAATCAGATTTTGGAAGTTATCACAATTTTTAAATGTTAAACTGGAAATGAAGTGTGGGTTATGTTATTTTTATCATAACGCATTTCTCTGTCACGCTATTTTTCTCACACAAGTATAAAACTTGACGTAATTCCTCAGCTACTTGTTCAAATGTTGTTGTCGTCAAGTAATTTTTTTAGTTAAATCATTTTATAAAATTTAAACTAGTAAAATATGCATGTTACCGCTTAAAAAATAATAAAGTCTGTACCTTTCTAAGGGATATGGGATAGACATAAAAAATATTTAGCTACTCAAAAGTTGAAAAATAATTACTACTTAAATAAGTCAAAAAAAAAAAATTCCCAAAATTATTATTATTTTAAATAAAATCTAGTGGTAAACGGTAAATAAATTACTCCATTCAGTAGAAATTGGTTCAACAACTTTCTTGAGATGGCAAGTTTTGTTCATTTAAGCCAATAGCTTGTTGTAGACGAATAATAATACAAAAGCAGATACTTTTTTAAATACTCCGGTGACCGAATTAATTTGGTTTTTATAGAATTCATAGTTGATTTATCATGAATATTTCGCAATTAAAAGAAAAGAGAATTATGAGACTCTTTTTTCACCTTTTATAGATGCCTAATAATGTATTGGCATGATTTTATGCATTAATACTTTTGTACTATTTTCAATATACTTGGTAATTAAACGAAAATATTACAAAATGTGTATTTAACTAATACATAGAAGGATCAAGGCGATGGTTTTAAGAGTTCGCGCATAAAATATTATATTACTTAAGTAAACAGAGAGAAAAATTTGATAAAATTCCACTCATTATACATGGAATTTATTATTGTCAAAACTAAAATAATGATAAATGTACATTAATGTTAAAACCATGTAACGTATAATGTTCTGCGTTTGCGATTTGTTGTGTTGTATTTTTGAAAAGCAATCGGTCAATGAATGATTGCTGAACAAAAAGAAACATTATGGACCAAGTAAAGTTATTATCATGTTATATTCCAGTTTACTTGTTATAATTAACCGATTTTTCAACATTAATACAACATAGTTTCTATGAATATAAAAGGTTCATGCAAGGCATCTCGGTTTTTATTTGTGAACAAACAAGAACTGGCATCAACACCTGAAATAAACTGTGTCCTCTGATACATCACTTAATGAACACTATCAATCATTGTAAGGTCATTTAAGTAAATGCATTTACCGACAAATTTATCAGTTGGGTACATCAGCGGAAGTCGAATTATTCATATTATACATAAAACCCCAATGCAACAAGATTGTTCATTTTTTTATTTTTATTTATTTAATAAACGGGTTTTTAAACGTTATAAGGTTTCTAGATTTTTATATACGGTTATTTCCACGGTTCGTTTATGTTTAATGTAGGCAAACATTTCTCTCGTTTTCCCCTTCCACTCACCGTAGCACGTGGCCCGGTATTATGCAAATGATTATCTTCTTTTAATTCTCCGTTTATGACGTCGGTTCTCTGGTTGCGGATAAATGGATGGCTGACGAGATCCTATTAAATCGCACTTTGGCCAAAATGTAAACGCCAAAAACTGAGTCGTGTTGTATGTGCGAGGGGGAGATAAGTGAGGGTCCCATCACTCGGTCATGGATTTGATGTCTAAATAATTAGGTACACTGTCGTGTCTCTTTTAGCAGTTGCCTGGTAGACGGTACAGTTTTCCCATGGTTTTTTGTCATTATGTTGTTATTTTATCTCGTCCACTCTTTTGTTCACTTCACGTCAAAACTCTGTCTTCTTACTCCTTTGCTTACACAAAAACGCAACAAATCTGGTGTAAAAATTGATAATGTTTGTCAAGAATTTCGCCGTTGCTGCTGGTACTGAGATAAGCGCGTATTAAACACGATTCCCTTGACGTGGTTGATAGATCGGTGTTAAAGTCGCAGTGATAATCAACGTTTGCTTGGAAAACAACCTCGAGAGATAGTCTTGACACAGAATTTTTTAGAGCGAAATGATGGATTTAATTGATCACTAAAAGTATGCCTTAAGTATCTAATTTTTAACTTAAAATGTTCAAGTGCCGTATAACTTTTACAAACTGCATGCGTAAAACGTGTTTCAACCTTCATGCTTGTTAATTTTATTAGCAATTTGTTTGTATGTAATGCGATCATATTGTTATGCTACTTAAGCCTAAATTAAATTTTGTATCTCTATAGCTATTGGTGTTGTATTTCCATGGTGTCGTATAATCTATTTTAGTCAACTCAACGGTTCCAAACAGGATTTTACCAAATCTGTTCGACGCATGTATAACGTATAAAATACAGACATTATATCACGTGGTACAATATACTATGGTATCTTCGACCGAGGGTAATAAGGTGGACGTTGAGCAAACTCGATTACACCACACACACACAAGAGCTCAGGGTACGCATAACATTTATCTAAATCCGTTTATCGTTAAACCTTTCCATGTCGTTCTATTTTACAAGGGGAAAACATATAAAAAATACACTGCACAGTAGAAAAGAGACAAAGAATGATGAAGATATTTGCAAAACTAACGGAAGTGGAACGGAAAATAAAAGTGCACAGTCTTTCGTCTGCTTGAAAACTCCTGTATTACACAATATAACAAATAATAATAATTGTAAAGTTTCTGTTGGTAATGCACATCTATAGATAGAGCAATATTGCTAAAGTAAACATGTATATATTGTATAAAAAACTTTGTTAACTCATCAAAATGTTTTCAGAGTACTATCCGGCTCTTGGATGGTAGGCTACACCTAGTCAAACTTGTCACAGGCTCACTTGTCTTGTCGGGATTATTCGATAAAACATTTTATGTTCACATAATATATTATATCGTGTGTATTATACGTAAAGAAGTTTTGCTTGTCACTCATGCATATCTATGAAGCATATCACAGTGAATATTTTAGCAAGTTAATATCGCGCATACTTTGTATGCGAGTTTCTCTCCAAACATGACAATATTTTAGTCGTCAATTGAAAAACGTGACGATATCTAAAACTAACAATTTGTATTTATTTAATTTATAAATATATTTTGTTTGGCAAATCTTATTTAATGTAATAAACATTTTACGTATGTTTATATTTACATATTATTTTATTATGAGATAGATAATTATATAATGAGCACATAAATTCTCAATTCTTAATTAGGTTGACTAATGATATATTGTAATAGAATAGGTTGCTGTATGTTATGCTTGATAGTGTTTTACCAAAATTGATAACGAGTGTTAAATGCATTATTGCTGCCACAAGATTCAGAATTACGCTATATCTGTTGTTTAATTTTTTTTTGTGTTTATCCCTTCGCAACACCCTCGAAAACAACGCATTGACTCCATATAATTAAAACCCCTCTGGTGATGCGCCAAAGAATTGTAATTAAAACGAAGGGTCGCCCTGAGTGAGTAAGTGAGAAATAGTATACAAGAGAAACGCAGAGATGAAGTGATCTCATAGGATTAGAGATCCCGGTCACGTGTCGGGGGCTGAGAGATGGTGTGAGGAAGCCAATAGTATCAACAATCCGGGATTAACTTTTTCGGACGTACTTTTATACTTTATCTGTTCGTGTTGAGTAGTCAGAACCCATGCGGTATCATGCAATGCATGTGTATTTTTATAATTTTTTAAGCTCGTTTTTAAAAATTATCATAAACAAATATTACTGGCTTGTCATAAAACTTGCTGTAAATCTCCCGTTCGTCTCATTCGAATAATTTTTTTTTTTTTCAGCTACTAGAAAGTCTTGTTTTTTAGGAACTTGATGCTATTGAAAACGGTCGTGTGTAAATTCATGATCAATAAATACACATATTATAGTCTAATAGGAGCAACTGGTGCGCTCGACTTGTTATTATGAATATAAATGGTACATTTACCCAGAAGTATAAAGTGCGATTTTTATTGGCAGGTTTATTATGTCTCCTATAGGTGCACAAATGTGCTGCACTACTTTGATATAAACGTTGCCGACGAACATAATAGTGTGTGCTTGTACCTTTATGCAGAGATCGATAGCCGTTTTTGTTGTTAAAATGCAAAATAGAGATCGTGGGAAATTACACGGTGGAATACCGAGAAGAACTATTTTATTATCCAGTGTTGTATTTACAACCGAGAAAGTTTATATAAAGCAATGTAAGAAAAATATTTCCACTACTCGGTATTGGTACTATACAAGCTGTAAAAATTAATTGTACTAAATTGGAATTCTGTGGTTCATACCAATAAAAAATTATTAGTATAATTTATGAGAAAAAAAATCTATATAAGGCTTAAATTTGATTATTAATTATTAATTTTTGTTAGCGAGATAGAGTTTCGAATATTTTAGATTATTTTAATCAAATTAATTCATATTAAAAATTATTTTAATTTACAATTATAAACAATACCCGTATTGAGATTTTAGAGTTAATATTCAAGAAGATTTTTGTGTATTTTAAAAAAGTTATATTTATTGTTTTTCAACCCGCTCATAGACTGTAAAATATTCAAATTTTTTGTTTCTTTATAGTTTATGAAATTCAAATCATTCAAGAGACAAAAAAAAATAACCACAAATCTGATTGGGTTTAACGAAGAAAATTTTAGACAACTAACCGTGTAATTAATTTATATTGGTACAGTTTTGAACTACTTGATAATTTAACTTATAGTGACTAAAGTTCCATTTCCAAAATAATATAATTTATTTTAATATTATATATAGCGGTACTTTTGTTTTCAGAATTGTATGGCTATTCAATATATAAGTATGAAAGTTGTGTTAAGTGCTTATAAAGAATTTATGCGTCAAAAATATTCTCTATGTTTTATATAATTTGTTGACGAAGGTGTCTAAAGTTTTTTGTGAACTATTACACGAAGTTACCACATTGTGGTCAGGTGACCTACCCATGACTAATATACGAGTTACAATGCCATGTTATTAATAACTTATATTTTGGTTTTTCACTTAACTTTTCCATCCTACTCATGTTCTGCGTATTGAAAAAAAAAACTGCTTTTCTATAAATATTTTATACTTTTTAAATTTTCACTTGAATTATTTACTATTGTCCTTCAACTGTGATTAATAATTTCATATCAGAAAATTTATCACATGTTATATCTAGCATATATTAAAAAATTTATATCAGTTAAAAACACTGATGGTTTTCAGACCAAAGAGTTGGAACATAATAATTAAAAAAAAATATATAGTCAGTTATAATATGTCAGTAAACATATATGTGTATATATTGTAGTATTTAAAAGTTTAAAGCTAAGAAAATGACGCGATAAATGAACAATGGCTGTCTTTAATTATAATCTGATTGAAATTGTCCGATGGAATTGATTATTTTTAAATTCTTGTTTAAAAATCACAAATACCTTCATAAAGCCGTATGGTTTTATACGGTTTTTATATTGAATCTTTTACTGAGTGAGCTCGTGTATTATTCACACACAAGTTATTTCATATCGAGAGATAACCATTTTGCCGTAAAACGATATTAAGACAGTTGTCGTGGACCCTGGCGATATATTAAGCGTTCTTTTCTACCGACGCGTTGTAGCATTACAAAGAGGGCAACGCTACCGGAATAACAAACTCTGCTATCGTTGGTCCTTTGGCAATAAGTGAGTGTTGTCACGACAATATCTAAGGGAGTTCACTGAGCACATACAATATAGTACGACTGGATGATGGTTGCAGAGGGCGAGGAAGAGATCACAACGAAAAATTAATAACAAAAACCCGACGGCGGCCGGTTTTATAATCTTTTAATAATAATTCCGCCCGAGCGTTGGAAACACATACACACTTTGGCGTTTATATGACATTGTCGAGCACAAAAGGCGGCGTCAAAAATGGCGGCGATATTATTACACGACTTACACGTGGTGGTCGGGGAGGGTAAGAAGTAACACGACGTTATTCGGCGAACAAAACGTACGCGATGAGGACGCGGAGGGACCGAAGGAAATCTCTGGCCGAGAAGTAAGGCGACGCGGAAAACGCAATAACAATTTCCCGGACGGGCGGTTCACATTTCATTATTCCACTTGAGCGGTGGTGGTGAGGGTGCCCGAGTAGTAGTAGTAGTAGTAGTAGTAGTAATGTTTGGGCTGTCCGGGCAAACGGAAGGGTTCACGCGGGCGCGCCCCCGCCCCAAGAAGGCCGCGGCGGCCAATCAAAGTTACACGCCGTGTCGGTGTATGCGTGTGAATAATACCGCGCGCGTTAACGATTTTTTTCCCCTCTTCACCTTCCCTCATCGGACGACCAAATATGTTAACTGTGGCATAGGAAGAAAAAGAATGGGAAGAAGACATGACGATAATATTATGTATATACTGCGAGCTAGTAAGAGACGCCGCGATGAACGAAGAATTATTATTGTAGAGGCGAAAAGAGAGAAAATAATAACGGACGACCCAACAATAAAACAAAAAAGAATACTCGGTGTATATATTAGCAGTGGTGGTATATATCTATTGCTCGTGTATTAGTGTCAGTTGACTGGATAAGGGAGGTTAAACGGCTAGAGGAAAGACCGAGGAAGTTCGAGGACTGGGAGAGAGATGGCGCGATGTATGCTGAAATATCTGCGTGGGTCGCCTAGATTACGTTCTTTTTGCTTAATAAATATCGGTCAGACAACTCAAGGGCAATGAATACATGTAAAAACTTGTGAGACCAGAAATAAGATAAAAAAATTTGTATTTCAGCTCAATATTTTATCAACAGTAATAAAGTTATGTGTTATTTTTTAGAAAGTTATCTGAACATCTTTTAGAGTTCCTGTAAAATATATATGTGTCAATAGTAATAAAAATGTTGACTGTTTAATTATTATTTTAAAACAAATGATAATATGTTTATGTAAACACCATAGTTTCATTTGCTCTTCTAATTATGTACAGTTATAATCAAGACTGATAAGTATTCAGCTAATTTTGCAAGAAAAAAATTCGGATTGCATCGCTATGTTTAGGAAATAATTTGTTTTACTTATCTATTCAATTATTTGAGAGAAATTGTATCGTTTTAATAAAAATTGGAGAGTCTCGACATTATAAACCCCAATTTTTTTTTAGTTATTCTATATAATTCCTTTGGTCAATTAACTTTTAAGTACAAGCTACGAGTGGTACCTTTGAATTGATCACAATTCAATTATAAACGAAGCCATAATGACCATTTGTTAATATTATCCAATCCGTCAACAATGCCAATCTTCTGCCAAACTACTGGACTCATGTTCATTAAATATCGACAATGTCAAAGTAGTAACGTTCAGTAATATACAAAAATTAACCACTGGCGTCATCACATTTGAGTAGGAACTTACATTTTAACTTACTTTCAAGTTGTTAGTGCCATCGTCTTCACGAAAAAGATTATTTACTTCATTAGAAATATTAGGTAGAAAAATGTCTTCAATAGTTGTTATTTTTATTATTCAAAACTAATATTTATACAAATTGTTTTAGAATTCTTCCAAGACAACAAAAATGTATTAGTTTAAAGTTATTTTTAACGACCTTTTAGAGATTTGCTTTAATATTCAGATCCGATTAAATGAAGTTAATGGGTTATACATTTTAATACAGTCAACAACCCTATTGAACGTTTCTATAAAACACTTTGAATCTAATAAACTTAAAGGAACTTTTTGACGATTTTGAGCTGTTTGGTGTTTGAATTTAAATAACACAAACTGTTTTACCCTTTAATTTGACACTAAATTCAAAGTAATAGCTATTGCTTGTCCGTTACTATGGCGTTTAAACCAGTGCTATAAGTGAAAACATATTGTGGTCTCAGAAATATCTAAAGCTTAAGGATAAGTATTCAGGACATAGTAGTGGGTTTTAATCACTTTGCATCTGCCCTATGAACGTTGAGTAAAGGATTTCCCAGAATCTATGTGTAAGAGAATGATGGCGAGATAGGATAGAGTTGGTTCGGAGTTATTAATTTAACCCAAAAGTAGGACTTGTAAAATCCCAACCTCTGTATATATACAGTACGTAGTAACGGACGCAGCGGCAGAAGTCTTTAGCGGTCTTAAACCGCCGGCGTTTCTGAGAAAGGTGAGGAGAAGGGATTTAATTACTGGTGTTTGCGACGATGTCGTATGCCCGTTAAGCTTTTATAGGCTTCCTTTATATTACAGTGGTTGTACGTTTATATATAGATGTATGTATATATATATACTAGAAATCCGAACTCAAAGACAACGATAACAACAACGCTGTGTATAGTTTGCGAGTAGTACGAAGTTATTGTATATTGCCGCGTATCTTGTAGCTACAAACGTTTAGAGATTCTACCGAGTCCCTTCTACTTTTACCCTTCCAGATCTACAACCGCCAACGTAGCCGACATGTAATAATAACGTATTACAAAACCGTCTTGTAATCTCTTCTCTTCTCATTCACCACTATAATCATCGCTGAAACTATCTGTACTGCTAAGTATGATTTAGTAAGTTTACGCTATCTACCACTTTATCAATATATAGGGTGTTCTGTTTATCATGAACCAATCGATCACTTCCAATATATATATATATATATATATATATATATATAATATTGATAGAAAATATATATATTTTTAGTTACATATATCTCTTGTGATTAATCAGTTCTTAACTATTTTTTAGCATCATCCCTTGTAACTCATAGGAATGACAATTTTGTTATTATTATTTTTTTTAATGGCAACATACATATATAACTAATTTATAAAATAGAAAACGATCTAAATAAAAAAATTACGGATCGACAATAACTTTTGAGGCAGTACTTTGGAAGTAATTAACATTTTTATACCTAGACAGCAGGAAATGAGCGAGAATTGACTATTAACATAAAAGTTACACTCAAGCCTCTCTTAGTCTATATGTTAAAATCGTTATTATTTCTGTGCTAGTACAAAAATTGTTACTGGCCCTTCATTTTCTTAATTAGATCATTTCCTATTTAATAAGCTAGTTAAATATGTGTGTTTCCATTCAAAAAACAAAATTTACTCCCCTATAATTTATTAGGGATGATGCTAAAACTAATAATTACTTTTTAATTACAGCAATTAATAATTAAAAGTTTATAGTTTATAGTATTAAAAATTAATAATTCAAATCAAAACAGTAAATAACTAAAAATAATCAATTATTTTTTATTCGAATATGGTATTTATTATTTGAGTAATTGAGTGGTTATTGATAGACGGACTACCCTGTACACCATAACAATATATATTATTGTATTTCAATAACGATATAAAAAAAAAAAACATAAATCATGTTTTAGTAAAAAAGCTTAAAAAATCACTATACAAATATTCGGTAGAGAAGAGAGGAAATAATATTTTTTGTTTTCTGTGTTCTATAATTTTTATATATATAAAAAAAAAAAAAAAATACTCAGATTTCAGAGTAAACAAAAAGACAGGTAATCATGATTTTAAAATTTAACTGAAAAATCTATGTTATTATAATCATAATATACTGGAAATCTGTAAGGTATTTTCCATTTCAAACTATTTATTTATCAATCATCAGGAAAATACGGTTAGGTATGTTGTAATGTTTATGGTAATAAGACTTTATCTTTCCAGAATTATGGTGCATATTAAAGTGATGTGAGTGTACGTGTTTGTATGGAAATACTTGGCGATTTATAGACTGACAGTGGCGAGGTGGTTGTGGAAGGGCGGTAAAAAAGTAGTGAACAAAAAACACCAAAATAAAATATATGATATTGAAATGCGAAATCCGTGCCCGGGTGGTCTATTTATTACTACA